AATGTGAATATTTTTGTAACTGGCGTTGTAAGTTGGTTTATAGTGTTACTAGCCAAGACGAGAGGATTGGAGTCATTGATTTCTCAAATTATATTTTTAGCAATGTAACTATGGTAGCTAAGAACTTGGATTCTAGCATCACACTAGATTCAAGTCCCAAATTTATCCCCTGCTAGCTGTATCCTCTTGAAGACCGCTTCTGTATTTCAATTTTTTCATTTTTATAAAAAGGAAAAGTATCTCCATACACAGTATCTTCAGTGCTATGTATATTACATGTACATGCACAATTGGGTCTGAGTATGAACTGAATAACTCAATATTATTTTTCAGTGTTCTGATTATTCCTTTGAGACCCATAATATAGATATAAATTAAGACATGCCTTTTTATTCATCTCATCAAGTGATCAAGGTGATGATTTGATTTTTTCGTTCATTCATACTTTCACTGACCACGTACAATGAATGCACAATTAGAGATGCTTTGGGTAGGACTTGGAAGAAGAGACAGATAGCATGTCTCTCAATAAATGCAATTAAAGATTGGCAGATGTTATCCCAAAAAGGTGGCACTGTGCATGGAGCTTTTGAAGATAAGAAGGTGAAAACATGGAATATAGGTGGAGTAAAAGTCTGAACCTTCTCTTAATAGGCATGATTCAAAGGTGAGACAGAACATTGCACAGCTGTCACTTAAGGTAGAACAGATGAAATTCAAGAATGAAAGAGGCCAAATACTTCAAACCAAAGGAGGCCTCATGGACAGGATGACTTTTGAATTGGCTTTGAGAGATGCATGATGTCAGGAATGTTAAAGACACCTGGGAAACATCTTCTGTCGGTAGGTAGATTAGGGGTGTAGAAGGCACAAAATCTGGAACTCCAGGGAAAAGTTGTTGAACAGTGGACACTTTCATGAACTGAAACAAAGACCTGGTGCAGAATAAAAAAAGATTGAGTGAGTAGGTACAAGGGTCTGGAGATACTGGGGTGCCATTTTGGGCACTAATACCCACAGATTGCAAAGTAGCAGCCCTTGGACTCGTTTTGATACGTGCAACTATTACTTTGAACAGCTTCCTAGTTAATACCTAAGTCAGTCCTTAAGCGTTCTAGCAAGCACAATAACAGGATTAATCCTACAAGCCCAGAAATTAGTCTGTATTGGCACAGATCCTGGGATCAGGATCCTTTTTTCGCCCATTAGGTCTGCGATCTTACTTATGTTTCTGCAACTCTTTGAGCTTCAACTTCGTTATAAATGATGGAAAGAGTTTCTAATACATGGCATAGGGTAGAACCCATTTAAGCATTTAGCGTATCACCAGATCAGTTGTAAACACATTAGCAAATGAGAGCTGCTTACATTACAAATGGGAAATATATAGAACGAAGTAGTTTTATTTTAGAATATAAAAAATTTGAATTTGGAAGTGCTATTTTATAACTACTAGTTTTTGAAGAACATAAGATTTTTTAATAGTTTGATTCCTAGAGTATTATACTAAGCCCCACTGAAATGGGTATCATATAATTTTGTTAAATATTTAACTTGTGGAGATAGGGTTTTCAGTGAGTAATTTCTAGAAGCAAGTGACTTACTCACCAGTGGAGAGGACCAGTCAAAAAACAAACAAGTATCTGTACCCATTGGTGTTTTCTAAATGTGCAGAAATTCAGGTAGCAGCAATTTCCCAAGACAGATCCTGTGCTCACATGGTCACCTCACTTTCTGAACACATTCATGGGCATTAGGAATTATAATCTTGAGTGCCATTGTGATTCCAGAAGCTTCTTTGCTTGCATGGCTTAGTAGCTGAAAATGGAAATGATTTAACATAATTTTTGCCTCCCCCCAAAACTACTTGAAAATAAAAGTACAATAGTTTCAAAAACACTAGAGGAAACAAAATTAATGCTTTTTTTTTTTTAATGTTCTGTGTGCCAAATAAACAAGGATTGTTAGTTACATAACTGTCAGTGATGTTTTCTGGCACAGCCCAACACCAGCTTCCTGTGGTACAAGCAAGATGAGCATGTCCAGAGGTAGAGAAAGCACAGTTGCTGTGTGTTGTGGGCAAACCAACCCATACCTTATCTCTTCCAAAAGCAGCCATGGAAAATGCATGATAAATTGCATATTTCAGTGAACATGCTATGTTGTGAAATGATTTTGATTCATGGTTATCACAAAACAGCTGACAAACCTCAGAGTACTGCAGATGTTATTGTAGGTGGTATTGCCCTCTTTTCTGTTGTATAACTCAAGTACTATGAAGTATATTTTTTCACATTTAAAATTCTATATTTAAAGTAGTATTGGCCACACTTTTCAGAAATCATTTTTTAATTTATATGAGTTACTTCCAGAAGTGTCAAAGAGCTGGGAAACATAATAAATTATTCATGTTACTAAAAATCTTTTTAATGAAAATTTCTAGAGCTAAAAATTAGAGAAAATTATAAACCAATTAGATTTAAAATAAGACTATAATTTCCTTTTATTTGGCTTATCAGCATAAGGAGATTTTTGAATGTTTTGTATACAGTGGCAGTAGAATCAAGAATGTGGGAATTATTTCGAGGAAGCTTTTGTAGAAATCGCTGTTATACAGGCATAATTCCTATTCCTTGATCACAATTTCTACTACCCTTGTCTGCTACTGAGTATCTAAAGTGTCAAGTGTCAAATAATTAGACCGTATTCCACCTGAAATGTATAGTTGTGGTTTTTTAATTGTTTGTTTTTGTTTACGAATCTTGCTCTCAATTAATGCTCTTAATGTTTAAAATATTTTCTGCTAAAAAACATCAGACAGGTAATCTGGCAAGTCGATCAACTGATGTATGACCAAACCAGTTTCTGAGTTTCTAAATCCTCTAAACCAATTACCACTACTTCTCAACTTCTAAAAAATAACTATAAAATGCTACTGTTCCAATTTTTTAAGCAGACTTTAAAAATATGACCGTGGAGATCTGCATATGGTAATGTACTACACTGAGGACCTAAAAACAAGACAGCAGAAGAAAACTTTGCGTATTAGTAGAAACTATCAGTTATCTCCTATTATAGTGAAAGGGACTTGGGTATTTCTAATATATCCCTATCATCAAATCCTTTGATTCATTTTATGATCTGCCAGTGTACTTTAACCAATTGACCTTTACATGTGCTTTGCATTTATGATATTAAAATAAATGTTAGTAGCCTACAAACCTATTCTCTAAATATTTACATCATCAGAGAATACCTACGTACTTATGCTGATTTTGACTTAACATTATTGAAAATAAGTCTGCTAAATTAAGTTTGAGCTTTGAAGTATAAGACCATAGATCATGTAACTTGGCACAGGTATTGTAACATGCCTTACAGCATTGTCCTGAAACATTTTTATGCTTTGATTCTACCATCATGGCCACTTTCACCTTTATATTGAAAACTCCCAAAACGTATCTATATGAGGATAATTTTAATACATGAGATTTATGATGCTATAAAGCAGAAATTCTTTATAACCACATAAAACCATTGTCACCAGAAATTTCAGCCCAAGTTTTACATGAAAAGGGACATATTTTATTTTTAATGCATCATTAAACTTTCTGGAAACTGCAATATTCTAGAATATTCTAGGTGAATGACTGCATATGTCTATATTTCTTCAGAAAAGTTCAAATATCATTGAAAAAACAACTGAAGAGATACTTTTTCTAATAATTAAATGATTTTCTTCTGCTTTTTGTGCAGAAATGTATGTTTAGAATCAGCCATGTCTCATATATGCACAGATCTTTGAGTAAAACAGCAGCCAAACTCACCATTTCTAGACCAAAATGATGTCCTCAAAATGATGTTTCAAAGTACATTTTATCCTTAAGCCCCAGTTCGCTTTGTATCTGTGTGCATATGTGTGTATATGCATAGGTTGTGTGCGCACATGTGCGTCTATAGGTGGCGCGTGCATGTTTGTAAAGGCACACACAGAAAAAGCTGCATTGTGTAGTTAGGAATATGAACTTGGAAAGCAGCCATTGCAAACCTACATGCCCACCTTGCTACTTTTCCTATCTGTCTGAACACTGTCTTAACCTCTTATCTCAGTGTGCACATCTTACGGGGTTGTAGTAAGATTTAACTCAGTTCATGTATATAAGGCACTTTAAATCACTAATCCATAAGGATCTAATGAAGTATTAGCTGATTCTATTATTATTATTATCATTATCATTAGTATTGTATATTCATTTATAGTGTTTTATTTCCAACATTGTATTGTCTGTATAAATACATTTATTAGGTAATTAGGAAATATAGAGTTTGGTGAAGTGATATCAGAGATAGACCAGCATAATTTCACTTTGGATTTTTAAAGTAAGTTATGTAAGGTAAAGTGGAATGACATTCACTCAGGGCAAGGAGGGCTAGGAGGTGAGTGCATGCCGTTCACAGTGAACGAGTACATGAACTCACACTTGTAAAGGACGGATGGAGAACATGAGGACTCTACATAACAACATCGTACTGACCATTTGTTGAGAGTAACTTTTAAGTGCCCGTACCACAAAAACAAGGTAAAGGATGTGTGAACTTGCTTGAATACAGTACTCATTTCACTGTGTACATGTTTATCAAAGCAAGGCAATTAGAGACAAACGGAAAAAAAGCATAAAATATATAAGGTAGCAGAAAAGTTTGAATTTTGCTTACTTAAATCAGCTGGGTTATTTAGTCATCATGAATGAGAGTAAACAGGAAAGACAATGATCTCAGAGGTTTGTGACTTAACCAGCTGTCCATGAAATACAGTGAAGTGCATTCATTTCTTCACATTGTAGCTCTGTGTTGACTGCAGAATTAGTGGTTGAACGTCACATGTTGTTTCCCCAGCAACTGTAATAAACAGTCTAGCTGACTGAAGAATGGATAAGGTGAGAAGTAAAACAGCAATGTCATATCAATCATGCAACTTTGAACTGGGTTTTCTCTTTCAGGGGGCGCCAAAACCTATAGCCATGGAACCCTGTGCTGGGAACAGAGCTGCTGTTCTGACTGTGTTCCTTTGTCTGCCACGAGGATCATCAGGTGCCCCTCCCCCAGGACAGTCAGGTAGGATAAATAAGGAGCTGTGAACAATTATACAATCCTTGCAGGTGGAAAAGGAGAAATAAACAGTACCATCAAATTGCACAGTAAGGACTTTTACAAGATTCTAATTTGTAGTATGGTACTATTTTATTAGAACATAAACTTTTATCCAGTATTTAGGTGTTTGCGTTGCTGTAAATTCAAATTTACAAATGCTTCTTGTAAAGCCATGTTGGACATATGCATATTTGTGTGTGACATACATCTGAAGCATGTTCACAAACACTCTATAATGATTGTATCCAACGAGAAATCTCACTACCAGGGCAAAAAAATTATTGAACCTAGCTCTCAATTGCATTTCTCACAGTTTGCTTGTTAGATGAGAAGCCAAATTATAAGTCCCCTGAAGGGTTTGCATTATGAATATGGGACCAAATCAGAGGATTTATTTGTATGTTTGGAAGGTGTACAGTGACATCAAAGAACGATTCTGGAATGTATCTCAACATGTTTAAGATAACGTCTTGCTCCCAGCTACAAGACAGGTGTAGTTGATGCGCCAGGGGAATCCTCTCCCCGTGATGGGCATAGACAGTCATTGCTCTGATTGTCCTTTTCCTACATGGAAAGCACATTCTAAACTTGGGACAAATTAATGCTTTGTATTGCCTAGGAGGATTCCCCAGTGCTGTGTTGTCCGTTCTGTAAAAGCTTTACTCACTGTTGAGTATGGCTCGCATTAGATCACAAATCGTAGATTTTTCTCTGTCTCTCTCTCTTTTTTTTACACATCCTATTTCATCTATTTAGAATTTCTAATTTTTCTGTATCATGATTATTTTATCTGCCTGATTCTTTGTGGAATAGGCACTTTTTGAGAGCATGGGTGATTTCAAATCTATCTTTCCTTTGAATTCCCATTTAGCATGACATAAAGCAGTGGAGAGCTCCTGGATCCTCACCAATAGTGGACTGACAATCAACTTGGTTCTCTGCCTCTACTTGGTTTCCTGCACACTCCTCACTTTCTTGATTTGTGATCGACCACACACACACACACACACACACACACACACACACATGCTTGCAAAGGAAAAGTATGTTATTTTATAACTTTAAACTTCAGATATTCACATAACCAATCTTTCCCCATATGTGGAAGTGGAGGATTTCTATCACCTTTTATGGCACGTGATGCTGTCCTGTCATAGAAATTTCTATCTGGAGTCACTTGTGGCTATTTACTCTTAGGAATAAACATTCTCTTCCCTCTCTTATACATTGAACGAATGCCCCACTCTTCTCCTTTCAGCACCATCAAGGCAAATGGGATGCAGTCAGTACAGGAGTTTGGCAGTGGTCAGATAAGATGGATAATTATAGGTACTGTGTCTAGCTAATAGAAGCATTCTTTTCAAGCTGGGATGATTTCCAAAACAAACACTTCACTAATGAAAACAAGTCTGTGTGATATACTCCAAGGTTCTTCTAGATCCTTGACAATGTGATTTACTGATGGGCTGAGTGAAGGCAACTGCCAATACTCTGTCCCTTTAACCTTAGAAATATTTTCTGACTGATTTAAAATAGCCAAGTAACAGTGTGGACCATTACATTGGCTGTGGCCTCTTATGGATACATACGATTACTAGTAGAAATGCTATGTTTGGTGGGCACAGGGCTCTGGTTTTTGTAAAGAGCTCTTTATTTTTCACACTTGATCTTCAACACAAGGCTATAAGATTAATAATATAAAATTCACTTTATTAATGAGGGGAGTAAAGCGTGGGAAGCATTGTGTTTCTGTACTCAGTGAATAACTGAGACGGGGAGGACATCAGAATAACAAAAGAACAAAAAATACTCAATATTAACATTCTGTATAATTTTTTCTGATCTTCTATAGCAGAGAGCTTAGTTCTCTGTAATCAGCATCTTACGTCCTTAACAAGCAAGCATTTGTTGACAGAGTTCAAACTAAAAAAAAAAAAAAAAGCTTGAAATATTTTACTGTTCATCTTAGAGCACCTAAAGATTGAGCTGTGGTGAACTGTGTGCATAAATTAGAATGCATTTCTTTCTTATTTTTTTAAATGTAAGAGAAAAAATGTAACAAATTTTCCAGTTATTCTGTAGGAGTAGGAAGACTGATTGGGTTCCTTCAAAATGCAGTGCTTGCTGTCTGCATCCACTTTGCAACGTTCAGAAACGTGTTGCGTGGGCTGTCTCTGGGCAGATATGCTATGAAGCAAGTCAATGTTCAGGGTACAGTAGAGGTAACAGGGAGATCCGTGTTTATTGCACATTTTTTTAACTTTGCTCTATGTTTAAAATTTTTGATAGTAAATGGTGAAAACAATAAAATAAAATTCTCTTAACACATTACTACAACAGTTTTTTAAAAAGTGACTGTAGAGAAAAATGCTATCCTCTCCGTTTCCACTAAACAAAGCATGTACTAGCACCCGTATAGAAACCGAATGAATGTTTTCACTCTTCATCAAAATATTTGGTGTGAGCACAGCCAATTAAAACATAACATAGACTAATCCAATCTTTGAGGATATACATATCCAAAAGATTATTTATGAATCATTCTGGCTCCTGTAATGGAAATGTTGACATTGATTAGCTTATTGCAAAGTCTGGTTTATCTTACACCTAAATAGAGAGTCTGCATCTGTCTTTATCCAGATCACAGCCCCCTATGCATAGAGCAGTTCATGGATGGCAATAGAAGATCCAGGAAATGTGACCTTGACCAAAAACTGCCATCTATGAGCCTCAATGAACATGAGACCTTAACCATTCTTTGTCCCAGATTCCTCCCTTAGAGCCCACAGAGTTCTGTTGAGTTCCTGGATTGTCACGCAGGGTAAGAGGAGTGCATTGAGAAGGAGGTAGAGGGGAAGCTTCAATGATGGGTTATTGCCCCACCCACAGGGTGGGGAGGGTAGGGTGCTAGGAGTCTTCTCTGGGTTCTTTGATTCTTTGTCTCCAAATGTCAGTGAATATAGTTGGTGATTTAATTAACATACACTTGTTAGACGGAAAGTCCTCTTATACTTTGCACAATGTCAAAATTTACAAGAATCTTCCTTTTTGAAATATAGCTTCTTAAATGACCTATGCATTCTTCATTGGCATAAATAAAAGCATTGAAGTGAAGAATAAGCTTGGGCATATGAGGAGGAATTCCCCAGAGAGAACCAACTAGAGTTCGACAGAGATGGAGATGGAGATAGAAGTGGAGAGATCCTGAGAGGGGACTTATTGAGGAAATTGGCTCATGCAGTTGTGGAGGCTAAGTCCCAGGCTTCTGCAAACTAGAGAGCCACTTAGGTTGGTGGTGAATTCAAGGCTGAAGGCCTCTGATTCGGACTTGTCAGTGATGTTAAATCTTCAACTTGGAACCAAAGATGTGGGAACCCAGAGAAATACTGCTGTGATTCCTGGAATCTAAAGGCCAGAGAATTTTGAGTTCTGATGTTCAAGGGGAAAGGAGTAAATCCGTTTCTTGAAACCCATTTTTTTTTCACCTGTGAAAACACTCATTGGATGGTGTCCACCCCTGTTGAAGGGAGCCTTTCCTAACTGTATCGCTCATATTCAGACTCCAGACAACCTCAAAGACAGACTCCAAAATACTGCTTTATCTGGCTTCTCAGCAATCTGTAATCCAGTCACATTGACTTCTAAAATTACCCATCACAGTGGATTTTTTTTTTTTTTGCCCTCAGAAACAGGATTTTACCACTAAACAATGGAGGTGATCTGGTCATATTTTTTTTCAGTAGCAGACAAATTCTTATTTTTAATTTTTAAAATGCCATTGTCTTTGTACTTTGTTTTCTCTCTTGGTGACTGTCTCAATCATGTTTAGTGAGGGATGGTTGGATATGGCCCTTTGCATATCTCTCTGGGATATATGAGCTCCTTACCCTTGGCTCTCCTCTTGTCAGAGATTACAAGAGAAGCTATTTGGATTCATCCCTTAGATTACTCATTCACTAGCCTTCTGTTTCATCTTTTTGTAATATAATGAGTTTAGGTGCTTATGAGCAATTCTCCCTCCAGGTGTCTTAGTGTAGCAGAGCAAAAGATATTAAGTAGACTTATTGGCATTCTGCGTGCTGGATTAATTAGGTTCCCTGATCCCACACCCTGTGAACCTGCTGCTTCCTTCTGGAATTGCTGTGAGCAACCACTGCCAACCATGCCAGACTCTCTCGGGTCACTGTGGGATGTGTGCTGATGGCAACTGCTCACTGTGTAGCCAGCTTCTCTTCTGACCCCAGAGTGGCTAAGACATCTCTATGAAAGCATGACATGACAAGTAAGTGCTGCATGACACTAAACAACCACGCGTGCCTCCAGTCACCCTGGACAACAAGTGTCCCCAAGCATTTTAGAGTCCCTTTAAGATGAAATGGTCATGGAGTAAATAGACCTCTCCACAAACATAAATGGAAAATGATAATGATTGCTGTCTTTTGTGATCACGGTCTGTGATTTCACAGTTTATGGATTCTTCCTTGCAAGAAGTAGATGAACTTTTCTCACTGGATTAAAAATCCCAAACATTTGCAAGCTGTGTACGTCAACCAGTAAATTTTTTTTTCCGTGATTCTGCCTCATGTATGGTTCACTCCACATTACCAAAAATGATTCTTCTAAGGCTTTGAAATTTTCTCCTTGAAAGATGTGACAGAATGATCAGATTGCTTGCAATCACCTCAGAATATCACATAGTGTTTAAAATGTTAGGTCTAAGCACATTGGCAGGGATGCCTTTCCAGCTTGTAATATAAGAGAGAACGTTGATTTAATTAAGTTTGAAGAAGTGGGGAGAGGACCAGCAGTACTGGGGATGCCTGAATTTAAGTCCTGGCTCTACTCCCAGTTCCTCTTAATGGTCACCCTGAGAGGCAGCACCTGTGTGTACTTCAGCCTCCATTGTTCATGTGGGAGCCGGAGACTGAGTGCCTAGCTCCTGTGTTCTCTCTGGCCCAACAATA